GAACTAATAATGCAGTAATTTCTCCCTAATTCGCGCTCAGATTGCGCAGAAAAATGGACAATTTGGGAAGAGGAGATGCGATTATTCGAGCCTTGCCGCTCGATTTTATAGTTATCAATTGTCACCAACTATAAAAACAAGACCCAAAGCTCGAATAATCGCATTTTCTCTTCCCAAATTGCCCATTTTTCTGCGCAATCTAAGCGCGAATTTTAAGGAGAAATTACTATACTTTATCTATTTTTCTCTCGCACAATTTTTTTGATTGGAACTGTTTGTTCTACGGGTTTGCCGATTCTGTTCAGCAAATGCAGGATCGATCATTGCCTTAGCTTCTTGTATTGCTTGCTAGAGTCCTTGTTCGTTAGGTAAAGAAATTCTTAGGTTGTGTAATAAATATGTCCGACCGCGGACCTCTGGCAGCTAGGACGAAACGAGGAAAATTACACGAGTTCAAAGACGATGGTTCGAATGAATTTCGAGATACGTCCTAGCGGGGCTGTTTCTATATAACTTAGCTTAAATGAAAGCTGCAACTGTCTACTTTAAGATAGGCTAGATTAGATTGCAATAGACTGACGAGTTCGTTTTGAAAAATTCAAGAGAATCGGCCTTCGACGTCATGGGGTTTACGAAATTGAAAAGGAGAAGTTCGGACGAATTTTAAGATACGTTACCGTAGAGCTATTTCTATGCAGCTTAGCTTAAATGGAAGCTGGAAGTGTCTTCTTTAAGACAGGGTGGCTGAAAATGAACAATAGATTCGTTCACGTCGACGTCTATACGGTATACCTACATTTTCTTACTAGTTTTGATTTTCGGATAAGATTACCATCTGGTTGAAAGATAATTGTAAGACAATGATCATTCCTGTTGCCATACTAGACGAATTTGTCTAATTCATCTATTTATTACTATCGTATGATTTACAATCATAATTTCTCAACAGTCGAAACACAACTAGCTTCTGACATTTTACTTTTAATCTTTCCGCCATTTTAAAAATGTTTCCATGACTAATTCTCAGATAGTATTTCTCGTTTAATCGTACATTGCAAT